GTGAAGGCATTTGCCCACGCTGGTGTGATTCAGATACATGAAGATCTTTACTTGCTGGTTCTGCTCACACTTTCATGGGCCAGCTATGCCTACCCACTTTCAGATGTCACCGACCTCCCTTATTCTGGTGCAATTGGTGGTACATATCAAGGAGAAGGCGACGTGTAGAAAACAAAGCCAGGGGGGTGAGTGAGTAGGGTGGCAAGTAACATACTGTCTTCCGTTTCTGGACCTTTTCCTAGTACCAAACTGACTATGCACGAGACTGCAAAACTGACTATGGACTAGACAGTTCTGCTTCATTCCACAGTGGAGATGACTACAGGAGACATAGGCACGTTCTACCTCTACCCCACAATCCTCCAAAATTAATGACTTTTAATGACGTGACAGTGAGGCTCAGAAATGAGCGAAGAATGCTGTGGAGTGCCTGTGTGCACGGTGGCTAGTTCACGCCAGTGCCATTTCCCCTCTTCCCCACCCCCACCCCCCCAGATGCACTGCATTGATTCCTAAATTTAGAAAGCGAGACAGCGATTAACAACAGGTTAGGAAGTGAGGTGGGCTAAGGCTAAGAATGGGACATTATCACCATCAGTGTTTCTCAGGCCCCCCTCACCACAGCATCTAGGTGCCATTGTCTAAATGTAACAACTTCAAGTTCTTCTAGGAAAAGAACCAACCTCTCCCCCCTCACCCTTGGATAAAAGCCGCTTACTTATGCGTAGTTAATTCTAGCTGGAGCCTTCCAGGAGCAGGGGAGAACATGGAACTGCACAGATGGAACAGTTAACCACAATAATGGGGGGGGGGGGGGCAGTTCAAAAGCATCCAAGTTAAGAGCACCAGTCCTATTGAAGTTCAATAGGCCTAACTCACTTAGCTGCCTTGGAAAATCCCACCCACTAATATTATGTACAACACTACTAGAGGATAATTCCCCTCTCATGACATTGTATGTCCAATCCAAAATCTTATTACTCTAGGCACAATTAACAGCACATGCCAAAGTCTTGAGAGCCTAACATGCTGGGAGGAGCTTGAGCCTGATAACTCATACACTCAGAATGCCCAAATTACAGGATTACAGGTAACAGATTTTTAATTGCCTTTATTTATTTTTTTAAGACACTTTCAGTCAATAGCGAATGGACGAACCAACGTTGTCAGCATCAGGCTAGATTAGCATGGTAGTTAAAGCCCCAAAGGATTTGGTTCTGGCAGAGGAACTCTGGCAGAGTTGTGCTTTAAAAATGGGACCCTTCCACAGTCTTCAAACACTGGTGCGTCATGGGAATGTTGTATAAAACCCCTGCTCAGCTTGATGGGTCTTTTAATCTTTGCATTTAGCTTTGCGCTTTAATAACTTAGTGTAAATGACCAAAATATTTTTTTAAGTAAACAGGTGTATATAAATACTCTTTTCTGGCATAGTCTTAAGGGCCCTACTCATCCCTCCTTGAAGTTAATGGACTTTCCATTGCCTGGGAGTCAGATGATGTCTGAAGACATCAGGGCAGTAAAGATGTCCTTTGAGTCATGTGTCAGGCACAAAGGAGACGTTACACTAGCAGTTGTCTGGAGGAGGTAATTTATAGTTCTCCCCCCACCCCCAGGCTAGTGATTAAGATGGCTTCACGCTGTGAGCGTTTAATACTGTCTTGAAATCAGGACCTGCTTTTTTGCTCATGAGGTTTTAATCTTACACCTATTTGCTTTGATGATTTATGTTGCTTTTTACAACCCCATTATGTTACCGTTTCCTCTCTAAACTGTAACACAGAAAAACCAAATTAATCAGGAGTCTAACTGGTCTTTCTTTTTGGAATTAACTTTCTGCCTTTGTCTGCTTCCCTCTCACTCCACCTTTTATATCCACTTTCCTCGAGTCCCTATGCTCCTTCCCCAGCTAGTTTGTATCTTCTTCTGATATCCACTTTTAAATAAGCTTTAAACTAAATAGGCAGAGTTTAAAATACCATTGACTGAAAATACCCTCCCCAGCCCTGCTATCACAACTCTTTCCTAAGGTTGATTTCATTCTCTCTGGTCCTCCATCTTGGGCCAGGTCTACACTAGGAGCGCTTTGCTGGTGTAGCTATACTATACTAGGAGTGCACTCCTTGTATGGATGCAACTTTTGCCATTATAGCTTCTCTCTCTCACACACACACACACGAATGCACACAATACACACCATACTGCCAAAAGGGCAGATATATTAGTATAACTGCTTCTACACTAAGCATTTTTGCCAGCAAAGCTATGTCAATCACATCCCTGACTGCCATAGGTATACTAGCAAGGGTTTGCCGTGTGAACCTGGCCTTCCTCTGTCATCCCAGCCTGTTTATCCTTCCTACCCTAATTTAGAAAAAAACAAATCCCATCCTTATGAGGGACAATACCATTGGGTATCTCTACACTGCATTTAAATGCCCACAGCTGGCCTGCGTCACCTGACTTGGGGCTCAGTCTCTGGGACTGTAAAATTGCAGTATAGATGCTCAGGCTGGAGCCAGAGTTCTGGGACCTCGCAAGGTGGGTGGGTGGGTCTCCAACCCGAGGCCCAAACATCGGCCTGCAGCCGACCCAGGCCAGACTGTTTAATTGCAGTGTAGACATACCGGTTGAGACCCTAGAGCCTTGTCCCACTTCCTTATTTAACTGAATTGCTTTTGATTTGTTGTTACCACTGCTTATGGCAACACGGCGCTGACCTACCCTTTGGGTCACTGTACATAAGTAGATACCAATTCTGCTTCTATGCAATTTCAAGCCAGATAAATGTCTACTTCTATATTTGCAATACAAAAATAAAGAGATGCTAACAGTGTCTGTTTGGTCTCCTCTGTGTTAAAGTTAACACCATCTGGATACAGGGGAGAGAACTAGGTCTCTGTGAAAAATTGCCAGCCCAGAGCCAGATGGTTGAAAGGACAGAGCACTGCTCTTCCTCTGGTAGCACCTAGTACGGGTTCCCTGCTGGAGTCATCAGCTGCTCTGAGTGTGGAGAGATCAACTCAGCTGCTGTGAACCATTGGGTTTTAGGACACTGAAGCAGAGATTTTCACGGGCCAGTACCTAGATCCCTGCGGAAGCCATTAAGTTCAGTGTGAGATTAGGGATAGATTCAGTCTCTCTCTGATAGGCAAAGGGATCCAGTTCAAATGGGCCTTTGTATTCCACGTGACTTGGGGGCAGATTTGTAAAGGTACCTAAAGACACCGATAGGCAGGTAGGATGCCTAAGACCAATGGGACTCGGGCACCTGTGTGCTTTTGGAAGTCCCACTGGGTGCCTAGCTACATCTTCAGGTGCCTACATGCTTTTTAAAATCTGGCCTTGAGCAGGGCAGGATCTCCTCCCTCATCATCCATGAGTGTCTTATCAGTGCGTAACTTAAAGACAGCCAGGAGCCCAGCCTCCAGGAGCTAGTGGAGCAACAGGCACAATCTTGAGCCAACCTCAGCTAGTCCACTGGGGACAGTCACCAGGATATCCTGAATTGCTGCTCCCACCTGCAATGGAGTTTGGCTGTGCTCCTGTTTTGTAGTGGCAAGAGCTGACCAATGACTACAGTAGCCTCCCTGGAAGTACAAAGCTGTGCTGGTTTCCCACCATGCAGAATTTCATTGCTCTCTTTCCTCTATTTGGGCATCCCCAGTAAAAACAAGGTACACTGGAAGTGGCGTGTGCCATGTGCCACCAGGGTCTACAGAAACAGCAGCAAACTCAGGGAGAGAGCTGGCGATTGAGTCCACTCCCACCCCTTATGCTCATTCCAAAACAGCAGGATTCTCGGGGGATGCCATTTCCATATTTCCACCCTACCCCTTCCAAAGGCAGCAGGATTATTGGAGCAGACACCAGTGACTCAATGCCCCTTCCAGAAGTTGATAGAAATCATTCATTGGGGGAAATCATTGGCAGACAAGACCTTCCCTTGGGAGACAGTAGGAGTCCTTTGTCACACACTTCCCAGTTCCTCCCAAGAAACCTTCCATTGCAAGAGATGGAACATTTTCTAGACTGAGCTCAGTTTGAGTAGAAGTAAATTCAAAATGACAGCACATGATGTGACCAGTTAAGGAAGGATTTGTTCTGGTTTCTCTTCTTCTAACCTTCAGGGCTCAAGTCCTATTATAGCAAATAGGTCTTCAGTATTGGGATGAACTCCCACATCAAACACAGCTCTTAGAATATTTAAAGAGCAACAATGACAAAAAAATGCAAGCTGTGGTGTGCTGTTGGCCTGCATAGCCAATATAAAACATTTACCCATCCATCGGCACAACTACCAAACATTTCCTTACAGGAACTTCAAAGAAGTCCAACAGAAACACTTGGAGAAATAATCTCCTGCAGGGTTTCTCTGTGGAGGAGAGAAAAAGAAATCACACTTCAAGTATCAAACCATGTTGGATGGCTTTTTTTTCCCCCCAAACTCATTTATTTGGTAACATACACACCTTGGAATAACAAGTACTCAAACGATACAGTCAGAATGTCAAAAATGACCTTGGTCATAATTGCATTGTAGTGTTCAGAACAGGATGCACTGTAGAGGATACAGGCCATTAGCTCTCAGTATCTTGATAATAACAAACAGTAATAATAATAATACAAAAAATAAGCAAGGGCCCTCTGAATTGCTTAAGGGTTTGGTCCAACTCCCAGTGAAGTCTTTCCATTTACTTCAACAGGAATTGGATCAGACCCAAAGGGACTACTTCCCTCTGTATAACTTTATAAAAGAGAGATTTCAATTTGTACTTCTTGGGCTGAGTTTCATCTGAACTTGCATCCTTCAGGGATGGACAAAAATCAGTTATTAATTCAGTTGAACTATTTCTTTGCATTTCTCTATACTGCATCTTTCCTCCAAGGATCTCAAAGCACCCTATGAACAATAATTAATGAAGCCTCACAACATCCCTGTGAGGTAGGTAAGTATTATTGTTCCCATTTTACAGATGGGAAAACTGAGGCATAGGAAATTTGCCCATGAGCACAGAGCAAGTCAGTGGCAGAGATAGGAAATAGTCTAGTAGTCCTGGCTCCCAGTTCCATATTTTAACTGATGTACAAAATTCCCTCCCCTTTCTTCTTTCATATAACTGATTCCACAGCTGACTACCAGTAAGTAGGAGATGGATTGTAGCTTCCTCCAAACTAGTTCTGGTATAGGCCAAAAAGCCACTTCAAAACAACTTTGCTACAACTGTCATTTTGAAATGGACCAAGTTTCACAGCTCGATGTCTCTTGTAAAAAGCTTCTCTTTTTGCTGTCCTCTCCAACAAGTGCACAGGAATGGATCCCTTTCCATGACAGAGCATTTTCCCCTGAGATTGTCTACTGCAAAATACCTTTTCAAATGAGAGCACTGCTGGTTTTGGAGCCATTGCTTCCATATTGCCTCCAACTTCCATTTGGAACTGTAGAACTAAACGGACTTGACATGAGTCCTAGATAGACCTTGGTTTCTAAATTCTGCTCAAAGGAAATTCATCACCAATTTTTCCCTAGAGCATGAGGTTGCATGGGTGCAGAATGCTGGCACATGTAGTCACAAAAGAAAGAAATTTAACCGTGACTGCCAATTAAAACTAGACAGGACAAAGAGTTGTTAAATGAACCTTAAGTAATAATTTTGCACTTACAGGGAGAATTGCTGCATGACCATCTCTAACTTCTGTGATTTTATTATTTTTTGTCCCTGACAGGACTGCCTGAAGTAACAATCACATACTGAAGGCCAGGGGTTTTCTCATCTAATTATCCCCGTAAGAACTCAGATTCAAGCTGTAAAGAACAATTTGTGTTTCCTAGTCTATTACCCATTCTCTTGAATCACTGCAAGCAGAGTTGTTTTTATTAGGGCTCTGGGAAAGTAGGAAAACATTTTCACCATATTTTTGGCAAATTTCACTGCAGGTCATTGTGCTGTTTTAGAATATTTCACAACCTAGGGGCATTTGGAATAAAACCATGCATGCTTTCTACCAAAAACTGCATTCGCTTGAAAAGGGGCCTACATTTTCTGTAAGTCATGTCCTATTTCAAGCCAACTTGTATCTTTTTCAGCTCAAAAACAGGACCATTTTCACTGAATATAAACCCCAAAAGATTCACAAACATAGGGAAAGTTTTGAATTTTCAATGAAATATAAAAACAAATTTCAGATTTTGAGCAATTTCAGTTTTGGTGTAAAATATTCACACTGCTCTATTTCAGTTGCTTCCCCAGTAGTACCTTGTAGGTACCTTGTATAACTGATCTTCTAGGTCATTATTGGCATGGTCAGCACTATGAACATCAATGCTTTCTTTAATGTAGATGAAAAATAACTGAGGTTATTAAGATTGACTGGGCTCCAACTAGAGTACATGAACCAAAGTGGCTTCCTTTAGACGTTATCCTAGGCTCCTCAACCCTTAATATAACCATTACATGTTCATTTAGTTCCAAACAAGAATTGTACAGTCTCATTTACCTCATTTTGCAGTGATCATTGGTGTAGTGATTCCCAACAGAAGCAAGGAACTACTTTCAGTTATTCCAAAGTTTCTTTTGACCACGGTTGTATTGGCAAAAGAGAGTGATTTCTGATCAACTGATGTTGCTTAAACACCTTTTAACTTCTAAAAGCAAGTGATTTTAATGACTGTATGGTCTTGTTACATGGCTGATGGCTCCAACTTGGAAACTGCATTGTCAGATATCTGGATATGGGATGAGCAAGGAAATGTTAATTTGTATTGTGGTAGCACCTAGGAGCCTCAATCAGGGGATATGGCACAGCAATCAGACCTCTAGTCTAGCTAATGTAATACCTTGCTTTTAAAAGTGGTGAATACCTCATGCTTCCAAGGAAGAATGCCCATAATAAATATAGCCAACAGTGTAATGCTGTCTATGGGGATACAATTCCTTTCTGATCCACTCAGCCTATGCCCTGACACTTTTGGTGTGGCAAAAGAAAGAACATGGTACCACTAGGAAATCTGACCCACAAGCAAAAAGATGGAACGTCTAAGCCTTGGTGTAAAATGGCATGTTGATAACTGGCTTGCTAGTATTTAGATGGATTTGTTTTTTTCTCTAAAATAACTAAGCCCTTGAAAAATAAACTTTGTCCCCCAACCCACCTGCTAAAGAGAGATGTCACTGACCTTCACAAATGCTGTCCAGCTGCAAGAGCCAGAATTACCACTTCACCAGCCTCTTGAATACCATACACAGTTTGAAAGTCACATGGTGCTAGAGACAACATGGTGCTATTTACTTAACGGGCTATCTGTGACTTCATTAGGAACTACCTGAAAATAGTTAAGAATGTTCTTAGATAGAAAAGAGGATAGGCCAGGGCAAGGAGTCAGAGAAAATGTCAACAGCAGCTGTCCCTTGCAGACACTAAACCAACCACTGCCATGAACTATAATCACCCTTCTCCCCATGTTTTCTGGGCCTTGTTCCTGGGCAAGTTCCCATCTTGCACACTCTTGTAATGTAATACAACAGCTGGGGCTGGCCTTGCCTAATCTATAACATAAATGGCAGCCTACGGACTTGGGGTTAGGGAGCAAACACCACTGTTGTTTTCAAAGCAATGCCATCTAGTGGAGAATTCAGCTCAACCCTCCCCCTACCCTCAAGCAATCTGCCATTTACTCTGGTTCACTAAAGGGTAATCTAGAGTCACTTTGGTTCACCTGAAATCAGAGTCACTCTGATTTACTGTACAAACCTCCTGGATTCATGCTGGTTTGGTTCCTGAGTTTGGAGACCCTGATTCACTGAGGACCAATCCGAGGTTAATCTGATTCACTAAAGACCAATCCTGAGTCACTCTGATTCATGGAGGGCCAATGCAGTCACTTTGATCATGAACAGTCTGGCTCTGAAAGCAGCTCCATTTGCACTGCAATAACCCCAGGAGTTTGGAGAGAGTTAAAGGAGTTTCCCTCTAATGGAGAGATCCCAGTAGAGTGGAAGATTACAAAGCAGCCCCTGAGTTTGTGCGAGTCTCTTCTCATCTTTCAGTGATGCTGTCTAAGATACTAATCAAATTGTCCAATCCCAGCAGGTACCCATCCTCCCGGTTGCCTTCCTGCCAGGGGATCCTGTGGTCCAAGGTCTGCCCATCAGGGAGAAGCGTGGTCTTTCCAAAATCAATCAGCCATACATTGGCATGTCCGCTGTCATCATGCACAAAGAGTAGTGAACTTCCAATGACCTGCAGGGTAGAGATTGGTGATGATATGCACCATATGACGATACCCTGACCCTCCCACTTCCCTGCCATGAGCAAGGCCCCATCAGCTATACCTGTACAGACAAATGATGGCTGCTGAGCTGCAAAGCCTATGCAATGACAAGCAGTGTGCCAGCTGCTCATTGTAACCTGACTGCACTGTACTGATAGAGGGGCATCGAGGGACAGGACTCCAGCAGAGAGGGAACAGAAGTGAATCTTAAGCTCATTGACAATGTATCTGGGTTATTTGGGAGGGAACAAGATGCCTGGAGAGAGATCATGGCCCAAACCAATTACTGATTAACAAAAATCCTGCCAGCGGCTAAGGGGGAATTACTACCAACAGTGTAAAATAAAGGGCCAGATCTCAAAGCTTCAAACAAACACAGCCTGCTAAGGACCATTGTGCCAGTCACAGCCTCGCACCTGCCATCGTGCAGTGAAGTTCCTAAATCTGGTTCAACCCTGCATACCCACAAATCTCATAGCTTGAAGAGTAGTAAATACACCAATAATGCTGTGTAACTACCAGTGACATTCCCTTCTCTACAACCGTGCCTGCTAGGGGAAACTAGGGAACTTATTTACACTGGTGTAAATCAGGAGGAACTCCACCGAAGTTGTTAGTCTGAAATCAGAATCAGGTTCTGCCACCGACCAAATGAGAGACCTCATGGCACCAGCACCCTTAGCTCGACTCCTTTGGGAACCAACCAGGAGTAGAGTAGCTGTGAGAAGCTAGCACTGGCAAACCATTCCTTACAGTGAACTCCTGCTGGGGGAAGCTGGGGTTGGAGGACTTGTCACCTCTCAGCTGGAACAGAATTCTCTACTCTTGGGAAGGAGACTTGGTGGCTCATGTGATGTTAACACGTATTGGTTCTCTGCTCTGCGGTACTCTCTTCGAGCCCCTCTCTCGCCAACAGGCTAGTCTAAAAGCTTATCTGAATGGCAAGCTGAGGCAGCAAGGAGTCCCCACACAGGCAGCGCTGCCCCCCACCCCTATGCGCTCACCCATAACTCACCTCATGTCGTTTAAAGAAGTCTGAGGACTCGAGGATAAGGTGGATATCATGCAGACGCTTGAGGTATTTTTTCTGAAACGGGGGGGAAAAAACCCATGCACATTTTAAGGTCACTTTGGGGAGAGAAAACAAATAATAAGAGGGAGCAAAATCAATCTCTGGTGCAGCTTCACTGACATCAATGGTGTTACACCAAGGATAGATTTGCCACAAGCTTGTCACTTAATACATGCCCCTACAAAGGCTCACAGCTTTGCAATGCCTGAGCCAGTCTGTAGGCAGGAAAGGGGGGTACTTGACTTACAATGGTCGTTATAATGGGGAGATACTCTTCATTCTAGGACACACCCTTTAGGCTCATGTAGTCCGAAACCTGTTCTAAAAACTATATTTCAGTAACCTGCATGTTCTCAAATGAACACAGTAGTGTCGCGTGAGGCAAGGGCTTATGTGCACTGGCTTCACACATCCCAACAAACTCAGCCTCCTGGCTCTGGAACCAGTGGTGTGTCACCTGGCTGCAGAGCCAGGATCTTAAGGCTTCAGCATCCCTCATTTCAGACAGAGGAACGGATATGTTCTGACAATCCCTCTCTCTCCCCACAATGAGAAGTCTATTTTGTTAGGAGAGGGAGAATGTGGGCCAAATTTGGGGCCTGTCAAACTGGTTTCCCACTGCCCAGCACTTTTGATAAGGTGGGGGGAAAATGCTCCTCAAATGCTACCCTGTGTTACCTGGTACATTGTCTTTGAAGTGCGGACGTTCCACTGAGGTGGCCTCTGTGTGTGACAGTGGAATGAGACAGCAACCTTTGAGGTCATGAGACATGTTATATCCTACCCATGGAGGCTACAGCTCAGGCCAGCAGGGAAGGAGTTAATATGATCCATTCAAAGACCAGGGCGTGGGAGTACAGAAGTTACTTTTCAAGCAAAGTTTCACACATGGCAACACAATGCACCACCGATCTCCCTCCTGCTCTCACTTCCTTGCTTTGTCTTCACTAGATTAAACTTGTTTTCTTGTTAACACGCCTTGTGTTCAGACACCAATGCCAGAGTCATGACACATCACGAGGTAGCCGCTGCACTCTGAGGCAAAGGGCAAACCACTTGTTAGCTTGTCTCATTTTTTGCTAACTCAAGGTGTCTGCAGTGAAAACACACAGCCACAACCAAATCACAATCACCGATGGATGATGATCTGCCAACCCCTATCCATAACCTTCACCACTCCCACCCTCTAGATTTTCTTCTTCAGAAGTTTCTGGTCACATGTCACAAAGCGGTCTGAATGAACCAGAGACTAGTACCACTCAAGACTCACCAGAATAGTTGCGTTGCCCTCAATGAATTCCATAAAAACCTGGAAAACTTGCTCCCGTGTCTTAGTTGTTTTGAAGTTTGTGTTACAAGTCCCATCAGCCCTCTGCACACAAACACGGAGAGAGAGAAAGAAGGGTTTATATCATATATCATTCAGCCAATCAGTAAACCTTCCTGAATCATCAACAGCTCAGTCTATCTGTCATCAATCAATAGAAGTGGGTGGCTGGGAGGGAAGAGATGATAAATCAAGCAAGAGCTGAAGAGGAAGAGAGAGAGAGAAAGACAGAATACCTTTGAACAACACTTGGTTTCCTGTTGACTGCACTTTCAAAAGACCTCTCGGATATTGTTAGCCTGTGGGAGGGTTTCCCTCTCACCTCACAAGGGACTGCAACTTGCTAAGTGTAGTGGGTCAACCACAGGGTGCTCTTTGGTTGCATTCTCTTCTAGACTGACAGGTATCCCCCCATGGCTGTGTGTGGGAGGGGACATTCTGTGGTCTCTCAAACCCAGTTTGTGTTAATCCATCTCTCTTTCAGTGGGGAAACCACAGGGCTGTGGGTGGGACTCTTAGTCCACAATAAAATATCTTTTCATATTAGCATGTCCTAAGTCACAGAAAAGAAAGTTATTTGCTGATCATAAAAACTCGGTATTTGCAACAGCGTGGCTGTGTTTGTACAAACATGCATACCAATGTACAAAGTATGTGAGTAAATTTGCAAGGGAAAATGTGTTTGGGAGCATGTATTTAATTAGATCTAGAAGAAAGTTTAGAGTGTCTGTGTATTTGTAATGCAACTACACAGAGCAATGGGATGCAGACACATATGTGTCTGTAGTTATCAGCATGTGTCTGTGAAGTTGTATGTGTATGAGATGGGTGTGTGAATCTGGGCCCAATTGTCAAAATGCACTCTGGGTGACCTTCTGGATGTCACCATGTCTACATATGAAATGAATACTTATTTTTAGAGTGTCCATGCATGATACAGACCAGTAACAGTAGCCGGTAGCTTACATTTGTAAGAAGGATGCAATGTTATAAAGCAACATCCCTCATCATATTAATGAAATGAAATGCAGCATTTTCATTATAGGAGTAAATCAAGCACATAGAGACATTTGTCTTCCTCCTACAAGATAAAGTGACTGCACCAAAATTGGGTAAAATTCAGTTCTGGTCTAAGCAAGTGAAACACCATTTACACTAGAGCAGAATATGACATGTACTGTTAAACTTCTAGGATTATCATACAAGAAAGTTAACTGACTGCGCATGGCAAAACTAGTCATAACACCCTCCCACTTCGCAGACTATTTTACAGAAGAATAAACTACTTTTACTCAAAGACTGTGGGCCAGATTTGAATGTGGTGGTGTGAGGCTGATGAGGCATGTGCATATTATGCAACTGAAGTGCAGTAGGTAGGCAGTGGAATTGAGGAGCAATCTGAAGTGCTGTACAGTGGCACACCAATGTGTACGGAGAAGTTTGGAATTTCAATCTACTGTCTAAATGGCATGCTAGCTGTGCGTGTCTGTACTCCCGTGACACCAGCAAAATACCAATGGGAGGACACTTGTTCTGAAAACGCATCCCACATGATTTTAATACTCTAACAAAGCTTTGCATGGCTGCTATGTTCTAGCCAGGTAACACACTTTTTTATTTTAATTTGTGGTTGCATAAGGCACTTGCTCCCTTATCTTTCAGAAGTGCCTTCATGATTTTGCTACCCTACAGTGGCTAGTTAGGAAATACCAAGCATGCTTGCTGCCTTTATGCTCCCATTAAACACACATCCAACTCTGAGCTATACCATCCCTTCCATTCTAGATCATTTGGCTTGTGCCTTAATCCAAAGAGCAGCTGGCGTGGCCATGCTCAAACCACATCTGTCTTCCCTGAAGCCATGCCTCTGTCAATCCCTCCATCAGTCCCTTACCACACCTGCAGTGTAAGGGCTTCTCTACATGGGGGGGTTACTGCACGACAAGCCAGGGTGTGAATCTACAGCACACAAAGCCTTGAGGCCCCATTCAAGTGCCCTCCATACACTGCACACCTCCCCAGCTGCTGTGTCAGTCTTTGTACCTTCCACCTCCCGAGCCAATGCCATGGCTGACCACACATGCCACCCTATGGGATGGTGTTGCTTGTACACTCTTCCTGCATGGCCTCTCTGCGCTCCCATGGGGGGAGGTGCAGTTCTGCATTGCTTCCATTACAGTGTTTTGGCTGCATGCCACAATCAAGCCCTAAAACAATCTATTACTATTTTATTATTATATAATGCCTTCCAGGCAAGGATCTAAATTGCTTTACAAATATTAATGAATTAAAATCTCACAGCGCCTGGGGAAGAAGGGAAGTATGGTCATCCTCATGTAATAACTGCAGAAACTGAGAGGTTAAGTGACTTTCAGTATTGCAAAGTGAGTCAGTGACAGAATGAGAAATACAACCCAGAGCTCCCGATTCCTAGCCCTATACTTTAGCCAGAAGACCATCCTTTTACAAGGAGACACAGTATGATAGACTCCATTGGCGATTACACTAATGGAGCCATCAGCCCTGCAATTGATCACATTGTTCAGACTGTCACTTGGAGAGAAGATTCTTGCTTCTGAGGCTTGCAGGCACACAGATCAAGTGCCTTGTACTCTAAGACAACCAAAAGGCTCCACTTATCTTTCCTGCCTCTTGCATTAGAGACAAGTCCAATACTGCAGTGAGAGTTAATAAAGGGCTGAATAAATCTTGACTTATTTCAGGGATATGGGCACGATGTAGGGAAAGATGCTGCTGCGGGATGGATTAACCACAAGAGTAGGTACACAGTTCAACAGGAAGGAACATATGTAGTGAATCAAATCTCATTTGGAGGCCACTTAACTAAAGGGCCTCTATGATTTCACTCTCATTGGTTTTCAAATTATTGGGTGATTGTCTCTCAACAACCACTAGATGGCATCACTAGTTCTCCCACACACAAGCTCACCTTTCAAAATGGGAATCTATGAGTTTTACAGCTCTGGGGACATACAATACCAGGACTGCTCCCCGATTTGAAAACAGAACTGGGATGTCATGTGATGTAACTGCTCCATATGACAAAGTTGTAGTTCTGTAACATATATATATATATATATATATAAACAGACAACAATGCCAAGAGGTTAGGGCTTGAGGCTGCTGGTAGTTGGGTGGCCTGTGTTCCAAATATTGACTTGCTGTGTAGCCTGCACAACACATCAAATCTCTGCCTCAGTTTCCCTATCTGTAAAATAGGGATGATATCACCCAGCTAACTGCCTCATGGGGTGTTGTGAAGATAAATCATGCATTAAATATTTGCAGAGCTCCACAGGCTTTACTTTTAAGTGCTAAATATTGTGGCCCAGATTGTGCCATTACGGTACTGCCCCACACCAGGAGAAACTCCAGACAACATTGTGCAGAGACCCTTAGGGCGGTGCATCATACCTGCTCAGCCAGCCGGATCTGGAAGAACCTGCTCCAGGATACACACTATCATTGAGCATTTCCTGTGCAAGAAAGGGAAAGGCTCCTTGCTCCCTCTCCCAGTCACACACCAGGGCCCAGGGTAATCTGCCCCTGTGAGTCATCTGCAGTGTCTAGGATGCATTGGAATGTCTGCAGAGAGGACACGTATGGAGTGCTGATTCCATCACAGAGAAGAGCTAAAGACTGAGACAATGAGCCTGGCAACATTACTGGATGGCTAATGGGCTAGTGAGGAAGAGCCAAAACCCATCAGAAGTGCCCAGGAGTAGACATAAGGCCTGAAAGTTCCCACTAACAGCTGACTGCAGAGTTTGCTTGACAGGAGCCTGCGTCAAGAAGCACCCATCACCCAGTTTGTTTTTGAGAAACGGTGCTCAGTCCCTGCAGGTCAGGGCTGTGGGGGGCAGTGTGGAGAAGCCCAGCATTGCGTGAGTTTGGACACCTCATTCATCCTATAATGCTAGGAGAGACCATCAACGAGAAAGGGAAAAAGCAGCCTAGGGAAACAGAGAAAAAGGGATAATTAAGAGAGACTTTGCTGCTACCCCTGTATGACAAAGTGAGAACGTTCTTAATGTTTTCTCTGAGTGCTGTGTGGGTGCCTCAGTTTCCCCTATGCATTTCTCAGGTGTCTCGGGGTGTGTGATTGTTGCAGAGCCCTAGGGGGCCAGTGTGATGCTGTCTGCACAGAGAATGGCTGACACTCTGTCTCCTGGCAACTGATGGCCTGGGCCCCTCCTCTGCAAGGTGCCAACTGAAGGTGTTAGAGAACAAAGAGATCAGGTGACCTCCTGGCGCAGGAAAGAGACAAAGCCAAAAGGAGGGGCGGGAGAGTTTTCAGTTTGGAGCTGGCTGGGAAAATGGAGGGGAGCCCAGACGGGGCTCTGGCCTCCCAGGCTCCGCAAGATGGACCTGACTGAGGGGGTCCTATTGTCTGTACCTGCAAGACCTGTCTTGGACTGTGTTCCTGTCGTCTAAATAAACCTTCTGTTTTACTGGCTGGCTGAGAGTCATGGGGAATCGCGGGAAGCCAGGGGTGCAGGGCCTTGTCTCCCCCAAACTTCAGGACACTCTGTACCTATCTCATTCACCTGGGCTTCAAAAGTGGAAGTATGTTTTAGACCAGAAACCCCAGCTCTGTTATCTGACCCTGTACATGTCAACAGGCTGCCAGAGAGCTGAAATGTGCTCTGGTAAAAATCCTGAAGTCAAACCAAGCAACTCTGGTAACTAACCCCTTATATGCAATCAGCATCCCATAATGGACACTCACATGTTACCTCGTCACTTTAAAAATAAAGTAACATTAGTGCTTTCACTAGGAGCTGGATTGAGTTTCCAGGGCCCACTCAGAGGAAACACCATCCCAGACCACACCTGTCCATAGGAAAGAAGTCAAACTAGGCCAGACAAGACCAGACCAATCTTGGGAGGAAAAGCCAAATCCATACCAACTGGGTGGAGAAGCCAGCAGAGGCCTACCTACAGGTCAACCCTCAAGCAACCCCGACAGTTATCTCCAGTATCTGAAGGTCAGGATGGAGCCTTGTATTTTGCAGGTGGTTACCAATGAGACTGGGAGGTGGTATTTGCCCACGTGATGTACCCCCTCAGGGTATGGGTAGGGCAAACAAGCCTGAAAAGTGGAGATCGTTGGAAGTTTTCTGCAACACTGAAGTAACATCATGAGCTGTAAGGACCGACCCCTTCTTGCCCAAGGAGGATTGGAAGAGGGGTTATAGCTGAGGTCTGAACATTTGGGGTTCTGGGTCTATTGTGATTCCCCTTCCCCCCATACTGGATATCTGCACAAATTGAAAGCGATTTGCCTAGATACTGGGAATGCTACATGATGTTTCCACATTGCTTCAGAAATGTGCAGGATTGGAATAAATCTGTTTTACTTCAATTCACTCAGAATAAATCTGTGCACTCCCAGGATGGCTACTGGGTAAAGGTCATGGCTGTGAGCAGGAGGAGTGGATTATTTCACCAGTTCAGAATTTCCCCTTATATCAGTTTCACTTTCTTTCTGTCTACACCATGATGTAGCTATTTGGTGTCTTCTCTCAACGTTCCTGCTGTTGTTCTCAGAGCAGTTAGTGTGTTCGATGGGTTTCACATATTTCTTGCTTCACAACGCTTTTCTTATCATTGCCATAGAAGCTCTAGTCACAATCAAACAGACCATGCAGCTCCAGCTAGGAAGTCACACTGTCTTTTTGGAAACCGGGCTGATGATGACAAGTTGATCAAACATCAAATCAGGCAAAGGAGTGAGTCTATTCAACAGGAAAGGACAGCAGAGGAAGTTGCTCACCTTAATCCCTTCTATCCTGAAGCCCAAGTTGGCACTGGAGCTGATGGTCTCTCTCCACTGCATGTAACGTGGCTTGGTCACAGCATGCTGCGTGTTCTCCTCAGCAGTGGGCGCAAGAGGATCCACCTCAATCATCTTCTTGTACATGTCCTTACGCAGCTTTGGCTTCTCACGGGCTTTAGTCAGCTCCTCCTCCAGGTACGTCCTGCAAGAACACCACCACCCAACAAGACAGTGAGAACCCCCTTGGAATCTGAAACGATAATACCACCTTGCATTTCGCCGCCATCTTCCAGCGTGGGATCTCAAAGCACTTTACCAACGATAATGGACTAAGCCTCACTCATTACAAACCAGTGAGGAAACTAATTATCATCATCACCCCCATTTTACAGATGGGGAAACTGAGAAACAGGGACAAAGTGACTTGCCCAAAATGACTTAATGAGTCTGTGGCAGAACCCAGGACTTCTGACTCTCCATTTTTGCTCTAATTACATCCTTACCTATAACTAAATCCTACAGCCCTCCCCTGGTTATAGGACTCGGGAGAAACACTGGATTCCCATTCTGCACCATGACAAAGGAAAGCAAAGCTCAAATAGTCCAGTGGTAGTAAACCCAAGACTGAATGAGCCTGATGGAGACTAAATGCCTCTCTCAGCTCAGGAGAGAGGAAAAACTAACTCCAGGCATGGCTACTTTTTGAGGCCCCTGAAGCCTTGTGAGGCTACATACCCCACGCATAGCACAGAACAGGACAGAAAATAACCCTGCATCTGATTAAAAAACGTGTAATGCAAATTATCTGCTGGACCAGAGCTCATAGCAAAGGGTGGCCCAGGGTCAGATTGAGAGGGCAGGAGGGGGCAGGGGAAGCTCTGCCCATGTGAGTTACCACTCACTGTCGATTTTGCAGTTATTCAAAACAGAATTGTGCATGCTCTCTGAGCTCCACTGGGCTGCTTGAGCTAGTCTCTCCCTCACTGGGGCTTGAATATGCCCATTGGCTCTTCTAGGCTCCTTGACTAGGAAGAAATAAGTGGTAGCATCTCCCAAACACCACCCATGTGGGTTACTAAAATGACAGTCACTCTGCGCAGTGAAGACATAGCCTGTTAGCCCAGGTGATTGGCACCCCAGTCTGAGCACCCGGATTAGCCTCCCCCTCGTGAGAGCGTTCTTAGAGCAGAGCCCTTCTCATGTTACTCCATCCTCAGAAGTTTCTGTGCTTGCCCGGGTGTGTCTGGGGGCATATCCTATGGTTCTTTGTGAGGAGATTCTCTACGATTCTTTCCCAGTCACTTGTGTCAATTGCGGGAGAACTCGTCTGTTCTGCAGGGGGGAGGGGACCATGGGAAGGCACTGGAGGGATTTAGCTGGCATCCTCACTACAAAGCGGGCAGGTTCCAGCCCAAGATAAAGTGGAGCTCCACCCCCCCAGCCAAGTAAGCTAGCATGATCTTAAAGCATCTCCAACCCCAAATTAGCTGGGTTTACTGTGTAAATGGGAGTAGGGGGTTCGACTGAGACCTGGATAAAAGCCTACGCTAATTGTGCAGCGAAGACCTTCAGAGTAAACTATGCAGAGCTGGGCACAATTTCTGTCCTTTCTGTCTACACTAGACTTTTTTTTATCTTGAGTTAACAGACTGATAGTTCACATGAGACACTTAACATGATTGTTATGGCTCATGTGGATACTCCCTCTGCATTAAGAACTTGAGTTCACTGACAAATTAACTCCAGGTAAAGAAGTCTAGTGAATCATCTGAGTCACCCGCTCACTGAGATGCATGGGGCAGTTCACACTTCGCAGAGTCATCGTTCCAGACTCTCTGCAGACTCATCTTTTTATTGGTGAGACTTGGTTCACATTTGTTGAGGTTTTCTTCACAGCCACAACAACTAGACACTATAAAATGCAAGCGGAGATTCTGGAGAACAAGACAGCAGAAACAGAGAGGTGGTTCCTAGACCCTGACTATCAGTCCTGTTTTCCCAGGCAGGAATAACTGCACTCCCAGGACTCAGTGGCAGCTTTGGAGAGGAGATCTCAGGTTACAATTCAGTTATCCATGTTTGGGAAGGGAATTTGACTCTTGATTTTTGAGCGATGTTTTGTATTCAAAATGGTTAATAAACTGGCCATAAGTGAGCTATGTCACGTGGGTTGTTTTTTTCTTTACTCTCCCTAAGTCAAGTCCTATCAGGTAAGTGCTAGGTAAGCTCACATCAATCCGCCCTACTAAATAAGTCAGACTTGACCAAGATAGCATCTAAGGAGGAGAAAGAAGTCAGTGTCCAGAGGCCATGTAGGTCACACTACTCCAGGAATGAACCCACCCTTGACCTGGGTAGGGCCACCCTATGTACAGACTAACACGCCTACTACTCTGAAACCTATGTAAGGGATCATCCTCCCTATGAGCTTCAGGAAATCTTCCAAGCAGAGGTTTCCCACTGCGCCAACGTCCATGTGAGGTGTTTTGGGAATGAGACCAACTAACTCATGTCACTAGTAGGCCCTCTGCCCAGGCTTCAACCTGAGTCCCCAGAAATGAGTGCTTCATCCATCATGTGCATCATCACCCCCAGCACACCCATTCCCCAAATTAACCACATGTACTGTATGTAGAAAGCAGGATCTTTTTCATGTCTCCCACCTGATCCCCATCTTACAGTCCATGACACAAGGCCCTTCAAAGTCAGCGAGCAAGTCATCCAGTTGAATGTATTTCTCGCCATCTCTCTCTACCACCCCATGGAAGGCAGGGACACAGGAGCGCAGAGGATCTTTCATCAGCAGCTCAAAGCACTCCTTTTCATTCTCAGAGAAGCGCTTCAGAATCGTATCGCTGTCAGCTGCCTTGAAACTCCCTGCAAAAACACATGCTGATAAGGCCAGTCTTTGTAAGAGGGAAACACCTGCACTCCCACTTCACCCACTTCACTCTCGTGCACCAGATAAAGAGTTCCCCTGAACAGGAAAGATAACACACTCCTTGTAAAAAAATAAAAGCACCCAATGCAAACACAGCCATTGGCTGTGAAAGTCCATTTGGACAAGTTCCCATACAGGAATTTATTGCTCAAAGGAGTCTGGCTGGGCCAAGCCATGTTTTTTCCATGCTAAAGTATTCATAAGAGAATTAACATATCTAGCTGTGCTAAAACCCACGGAAAGTATAATGGGCCAGACTGTATTAATATGCTGACAGCCGGGCTCTTTTTAAAGCTATCCCATATTTCCAGTGTGGGCTGTGCTCCTGAATCCAGCCCAATGTCGTACCTGCAGTAGCTTGTGAGTAGCAGGGATCAGTTCCTGATCATTAATCAGCAGCAATCCACAGCCAGGAGCCAAACACTGCCTCTTTAATACATACGCCCCCAACACATACACCTCCACATACTGCAACGCCTTTGGAGTCTTGCTAATCTACAGGTGCAAAGTGTAGCTCAATTGTTTTACAACCCTGGATTTGCATGGTATACACTGTAAACTACACCGTACTTTCAGGCAGACACTGGAAGTGATTAGACTACAGCAGAGGAAGCCATGCTCCAGTCCTGCAGAACGGTAATAACATCCGAGGAGAGAGAAAACGGTTAGTCCACATGGCCTGAAACAAACTCGGGCCCTAAAGTTAGAGCCGGTGTTAAGCTTCTGCCTCACTTTCACCCTTTATCACACCATGACCCTGCACATTCAGCCATTACATCTGGTCCTTCTCCGATGTGCCCCAGAATCCTTTGCACCTGTGCATCAGAAGAGGTGTCAGGGGTAACGCTGACCAGTGTTACAGTTCACGGAGAACTCCTGGAATCAGAGAAGACTAGCTGCAAGTGATGGGTCAAATCCACTTCCAAAAACCCAGATACAAGGGAACTGGAGCAGATTCATGATCCTTGCTCCTTCTTCAGACAAGTGCTGACAACCACTATAATAGCTCCTCCCACCCCCACCCCATCCAGATTGCTAACCACTGTGCTAGCACTTCGGGAGTAGGGAACGTGTAGGAATCAATTGAAACAAGAGAGAAGCAAATCTGATGGCACCTCCTTGTATTTTGCCTTATGAATAACCTAAAACTTGACCTAGGGGCACTTCTGTTAAGTACTACAGACACCAAAGTAGACGCAAGCTGCCTGAGCAGCCCCTCGCCTGCTCTCCCCACACTTGCACTGATGCACAAATGACACAGACTTGCAACACAAACACCCACATGCTGGGCTTTTCTGTCCCACCAGGTTCATTTTCCTCTTGAGGTGTTAGATTCAGATGAGGTTTTGGGATGGATTTAGAAATGCACTCATCGCCTTGGCTGAAACATACACACACGTGGAGATGAATCCTTCTTCCCACTGCAAACTCAGAGACAACCCCCAGGTAAGATTGGGAGAGGCTGCTAATGGGTGCACTGGTTACTCGAGTGAGGAATGAGACAGCAGGAACGTTTTCCTAATCGACTGGGGCGGCAGCAGGGCTCCAATCTCCCCACCCAATCTCTTGCTGGTTCTTCCCCAATATAGATTTCCCCTCTACCACCTTGTAAGGAGTGCTTTATGTGACCACTCCTTTCAGCCTGACTTTTCCCCAAATTACTGCCTTGCTCTCCTCCAGTCCTAAGGTCTGACCTCGCCCACCTGAAAACAGATTCTTCTACTCTGCAGAGGCATGTGGTGTCCAGACACGGCTGGCTTTCCCTGAACTGATCCAACCACCACATTACCCCACCATGACCAAAAGTAAGAGCCTCTTCACAAAATCCCCATTCATACCAATAGAAGCTTCAGGAAGATTTGAAACCAGGCTGCTGTCTGACATCCTCCTGGTTACAGAGCCAAAAGATCTGAAATTGCACCTCTCACCTGTGTGCCCAGCCAGCTGCACCCATGAATAGCGCTTCTTGAAGGGGCTGATGACTGGCAAGTTGACCATCGTTTTAATTGTATGCCATGATTTTTTCTGTAATACAGAGGAAAAAAACAATTAAACAGGGCAACCTCTGAAATGCCCCTGCACCCGCGATGTGCCAAGCAATCTGAAACGTGTGCACTCGGCTTCACTGCCCCCTGCCTGCTCCATAAGTGCCATAAATGCCCAAGGTAGAGCTGGCACTACATCCAACATGATCACCACTGAAGAGATGGATGTCACGCCGTGTGGGCTATTCAAGATACTTGATTAACTTTAAAAATAAAGAAAAAATGCCCCTTAAAACCCTGCTGGCCATAAGAAAACAGCCAGCAGGAAATTTAAAAGTGGCACTTTGTGATGCACATGGCATAGGCCTGTAATTCCCAGCATGGGTAAACCAAGGGTATGTCTACACTGCAAAAAAAAAAAAAAAAAAAAAAAAAATCCCACACCAGTAAGTCTCAGAGACCAACTGACTCAAGCTCATGGGGCTTGAACTACACAGCTAAAAATAGCAGTGTACCGACAGGAGCCCAGGCTCTGAAACCCAGTGAGAGGGGTTGGGTCTCAGAGCCGGGGCTCCAGCCCATGTCTGAACATCTAGACTATTATTTTTAGCCCCTAGACTGAGCCCCTTAAGCCCGAGGCAGTTAACATAGGCTCTGAGGTGCCTTGTGTGCCTTAACGTGCCTTAGAATCATAGGATTGGAAGGGACCTGAGGAGGTCATCTAATCCAACCCCCTGCTCAAAGCAGGACCTAATCCCCAACTAAATCATCCCACCCAGGGCTTTGTCAAGCCTGACCTTAAAAACCTCTAAGGAAGGAGATTCCACCACCTTCCTAGGTAACCCATTCCAGTGCTTCACCACCCTGCTAGTGAAAAAGTTTTTCCTAATATCCAACCTAAACCTCCCCCACTGCAACTTGAGACCATTACTCCTTGTTCTATCACCTGGTACTACTGAGAACAGTCTAGATCCATCCTCTTTGGAACCCCCTTTCTAGGGTGACCAGACGTCCCGATAAAATCCCGATTTCTAGGCATTTGTCCCGTGTCCCGACCAATGTCCCGATATTTCGCACTCCTGTTTTTGCTTTGTTTTATTTCCCCCTTTTTTTTTGCTCCGCCGGCGGGACCCACTCCCCTCCTATGTGTCCCGATATTTTCTTCATCCCTACCCCTTTCAGGTAGTTGAAAGCAGCTATCAAATCCCCCCTCATTCTTCTCTTCTGCTGACTAAACAATCCCAGTTCCCTCAGCCTCTCCTCATAAGTCACGTGCTCCAGCCCCCTAATCATTTTTGTTGCCCTCCGCTGGACTCTTTCCAATTTTTCCACATCCTTCTTGTAGTGTGGGGCCCAAAACTGGAGGCCTCACCAATGCCGAACAGAGGGGAACGATCACGTCCCTCAATCTGCTGGCAATGCTCCTACTTATACAGCCCAAAATGCCATTAGCCTTCTTGGCAACAAGGGCACACTGTTCACTCATATCCAGCTTCTCGTCCACTGTAACCCCTAGGTCCTTTTCTGCAGAACTGCTGCCTAGCTATTCGGTCCCTAGTCTGTAGCAGTGCATGGGATTCTTCCTTCCTAAGTGCAGGACTCTGCACTTGTCCTTGTTGAACCTCATCAGATTTCTTTTGGCCCAATCCTCTAATTTGTCTAAGTCCCTCTGTATCCTATCCCTACCATCCAGAATATCTACCACTCCTCCCAGTTTAGTGTCATCTGCAAACTTGCTGAGGGTGCAATCCACACCATCCTCCAGATGTTCAATAAAGATATTGAACAAAACCGGCCCCAGGACCAATCCTTGGGGCACTCCGCTTGATACCGGCTGCCAACTAGACATGGAGCCATTGATCACTACCCGTTGAGCCCAATGATCTAGCCAGCTTTCTATCCACCTTATAGTCCATTCATCCAGCCCGTGCCTCTTTAACTTGCTGGCAAGAATACTGTGGGAGACCGTATCAAAAGCTTTGCTAAAGTCAAGGAATAACACGTCCTCTCATCATAGAAGGCAATTAGGTTAGTCAGGCATGACTTGCCCTTGGTGAATCCACGCTGACTGTTCCTGATTACTTTCCTCTCCTCAAAGTGCTTCAAAATTGATTCCTTGAGAACCTGCTCCATGATTTTTCCAGGGACTGAAGTGAGGATGACTGGCCTGTAGTTCTCCGGATCCTCCTCCTTCCCTTTTTTAAAGATGGGCACTACATTAGCCTTTTTCCAGTCATCTGGGACCTCGCCCGGTCGCCATGAGTTATCAAAGATAATGGCCAGTGGCTCTGCAATCACATCCGCCAACTCCTTTAGCACCCTCGGATGCAGTGCATCCGGCCCCATGGACTTGTGCTCGTCCAGCTTTTCTAAATAGTCCTGAACCACTTCTTTCTCCACAGAGAGCTGGTCACCTCCTCCCCATATTGTGCTGCCCAGTGCAGTAGTCTGGGAGCTGACCTTGTTCGTGAAGACAGAGGCAAAAAAAGCATTGAGTACATTAGCTTTTTCCACATCCTCTGTCACTAGGTGCCTTAACGTGCCTTGTGTGGTCGCAGTGCAGCGCTGGGAGAGTTTCGCTTTAAAAAAAACCCACCTCCACGAGGGGCGCAGCTCCCAGTGCTGGTGCACTGTCTACACAAGCGCTTTACAGCGCTGAAACTTGTTGCGCTCAGAGGGGTGTTTTTTCACACCCCTGAGTGAGAAAGTTGCAGCGCTGTAAATTGCCAGTGCAGACAAGCCCTAAGACTCACTGATGGGGGGGGAGAGGAGTGGCAGGGGTTGCCGCATAGATATACCCAGACACACACCAGGTCTGCTCAAGCTAATGCCTAAAAATAGCAGTGTGGACATGGCAGCATGGGAGTCGGGCTAGCTAGCATGTTGGGCTAGCTGCCCCGAGTACGTATCCAGGGGGTTGAGCAGGATTATACTCAGGGGGCTAGTCTGAGCCACCACCCACACCACAGTGGCCACACTGCTATTTTAAAGCACTCGTTCAAGCAGAGCTAGTGCATTTCTGTCTATGTGCACTGGGAATTACACCGCCCAGCGGCTGTGTAGATGTGCCATAGCGTTAGAACCACGTTTTGCATAGGATGCAGTTTCTCTTGTGAGTACATATGTATTCATATTCAGGCACACCTGAGAAATGGACATGGGAGGCCCAACACTGTAAGCGCCACCGGCTCTCCCACAGGCCTTCAGTCTTGTTTCACAGGCCTAATCCTAACCAGCAGGTGTCATCTGCAGAGTTTCAGAGGTAGAACTACCCTTATTTCAGTTCTGGGGTCGCCAATCCCCCTCTGGCACCCACTTAAAGTAGGATATAGAACCTTTTCTAGGTTGTGGAGTTTTCTTTCTTCTCCTTCTCCCCCTCCCCCAGCCTTGTTACATTTTAACAAGACCAGTCATTGCTACTGCCACCTTGCTCGGTCACCTCTGTGCAGCTGCTCTGTTTCAATACTATAGCAGGCAGAAGGGGAAATACAGCAGCTCCTGGGAAACAACTGCTGAGTGGACGCTCAAAAGAAAATAGCCTTTAAAATGAGAAGCCAAAAAGGTCTCACCCTCTGGAACTGAAACTGAGGTGAGTAAGAATAAGAATCCATCATAACATTTACACATTTATATAGCAATTTTCATCCTGAAGGATCCCAGAGTACTTTGCAAACTAGATGCACAGGAATCATTTCACCCAACACTGAAATGCAGCCACTGCAGGAGTTGGACACAGCAGCTGTTTAACAACCCACAGCAAATCTATACAACATATGCTACTCAGCCTTTTGGCTAAGATCAAGTGTAGCCTAAGCTTCGGGTGTGATTTTTTTCAGATGGCTCCCAGTGACTTCAGTGGAAGCAGATTAGGTCTATGCCAAACACTTTGGAAAATCCTATCTTTAATATCTACTGTATCCTCAATCAGGGGATTTTAGCTTACAGCTGCAGGGGAACTGATCCATCTCTAACTTCTATGATCCGAGGAAGTTAAGAATACAAAAACTGACACTGCAGAAAAAAGTCTGTAGGCAGAATGTACTTCAACAGCAAAATTTAGCCTGCCCATCATTTTCCACCCATGCTCTTTTATCTTGTTTATAATAAGGTCTTCTCTACTTATGTTGGTCAGCATGTGAATAAGAAAACACTATGGATGACTTACAAGTGCAGCAGGAAGTAGTGTTGGTGATGCAGTAGGTGACACACTTTCTTCAAAGGGCTTGTCTACACAGGAAAATTATACCAGTCTAAGGAAAGTTATGGATTTAAACACTATAGTTATACCAGTATAACACACACACCATGGACACTCTGATTCTAGAAAAAGAGAGCCTTTTCTAGGTTAGCTTATGTTGCTTTGGTAGCAATTTAAGCTAAGCCCCAAAAAGCCATTCTTATTCAGAATAAGTGTGTCCACACGGGGAGTTATACTGGCATAACTATAATGATTTAACTATGCCAGTATAACTGGAAAGTTACCCACGTAGCAAGTCCTTAGTCAGTACTAAAGAAACATTCCAGAATGATGTTAAGGGATTAGGGTGACCAGATAGCAAAAAATCGGGACGGGGTAGGGTGTAATAGGCATCTATGTAAGACAAAGCCCTGAATCAGGACTGTCCCTATAAAATTGGGACAGCTAATCACCCTAGAAGGGACATGGTGTTGCTGGAGGTGTTCTCTCTCAGAGGATACATAAAACTGAGGTCTTGGCCATTTGGGATCGTGAAAAATCCAACAGCACTTCATGCAAAAGCAGGATGTTATCCAAACTGGAATTTAGCTAGGACACTCTGGAAGTCTAAATTCCCCTGCAATTTCCAGTGGATTTCATGTTCTTCATTATTTGTCCTAAACTATTCTGTAGCATTACGGTGTTTAACAGCTGCTGGACTCCCTCCCAGAGGTGGCTGCACTGCAGTGGTAGGGGAAATTCCTCTTATATACAGTTTATAAACTGCTGTGAAATCCTTCTGAATGAAAGGTACTATGTAGATGTAAAGATGTCTGATATTCTTCTTCTTCAAGTACACAATATAGTATCTTTTTCTGTAGAGTCTACTTTCTAGCTTTAGCAGATAACAGAAGCACTCTCTCAAAACAGCAACTCTTCTGTTTCCATTAAACATGGCCAAGGTCCTCAATTACCAAACAAGCAGTCAAAATCAAAGGGCTCAGAAGACTCCCTTTGATGCAGCTTCCACAGAAATCAAGCTTTTCGATCCACCTCTGCTTTCAGTGTAGAGCTCCCCTTTTCTTACCTCATCCCCCCAATGAGAAATCAGCTGTGCCCTGCACCCTTATCATATAGATCACACACTCATTTTAATGTCCAACCTCTAACATTGAATGCTGTCTGCTAATGATTCATAATACACATTGTATACAAAAATGTTGAGAAGCAGAGCTTTTCTAGGAATGCACGTCAGCTTTCAATGTACACAGCACATTCCAGTGGCTTTCTCTCCTCCTCCCTCCCACCCAGCCTGAAGCAGCTACAGTGAATGCTTGCACTGTGGGTGTGAAAGAGACACAGCGAGCCAAATTCAGCCTTAGCATCAGCAGGCATAGCTCCCATTGACTTCAACAATAACTGCACCCACTTAGACTAAGGCGGATTTTGAGCCGATGTGTTAGAGATGCTCCTGGAGTAAGCACTTGCCTTTCAATTTCTCACAGACACTTCCCTCCGAAGGAAGAGAAAACATGGCGATCAGGCCATCAAGGAAAGGACTGCTGCTCTGGAATCCAGAGCCGTCGCTGGATGTTACTATCAACAGGAGTTTCCACAGATGAACTCTCCCCTCTATCCCCCCTGGAATTTCTAGAGTCCAGCCTCACTGAAGAGTCTCTGCTGGCAAGCAATAAGGGTTGAGTGCTCTTGGAGTAGTGGTGTGAGTAGGAGGGTGAGCAGAGTGTGGGTCTGTTGTGGGAAGAATCTTTCTCACTTCTATTTCTAAAGCAGGATCTCTTCCTCTTTGTCAGGGATGGTTTTTATCAGTTTTCAAAGCACAGCTTCATGCAGCAATGGGAAAGGGGATTGTAGCAACTGCTTAACACACGTGCTCTCTCTTGCGCTATCTATGCTCCCTTATCCCTCTGTTCTTCTAGGTACCTAATCAGTATTCTATGCCACCTGTACACATCCAGAGAAGTTCCAGTTTCCCTACACCTCTATGACCTGAAAAAGGGAAAGCCTGGCTCCACTGATTCACTTTTATCTACTTCATGGGATCAATATAGCTCATCAATAAATTAAAAGCCCCCAAAAACCAACATTAGAATTGGGATCTGTGAAATTATTACCTACTCATGTAGGGGACCTAGATAGCCCTAAGCAGAATGCATGGGGAAAATGGGGGGAAATTCCACATAAAAGTTTGCTGGTTTTTTTCTCATTTTTCAATCAATTTGAAACTTACCAACCAGATCTAGTGCCTAAGCAAGTTAGTCACAAGCAACACACAAGAGTTGGTAACTAAAGCAGTAGATCCATGATATAATTAAGTTCCACATCTTCAGCAGACAGATCTTACCAAAACTTAGCATGGTGATAGTAAACTTTAAAAACGGGGATTTGAAAAATAAAAAGAGGAAGCCAGTCAAGATGACTCTAAAGGCAAACATGAGGAAATTATAATTCTTAGACTCAGCATTGAGGCTACTGAGGAAACCCATAACAGGAGACACAGACGGTATGCAAGATAGGAAGAAGGAAGGTAAAGAGGGGGAAAATGCCATCTCATATCAATATCAAGCATGGAGAGATCACCTCAAAAGACAGCCTTTACACACAGGACATTCCAATGACACTAAGACTGGCTAGGAGGAGAGCGGAAGAGAAATCATGAACTTCATGGAGGGTGATAACTGTGTAAGGACGAAGCTGGCAAATGGGCGGCAGTGAATTTGGGGACTCATGGTCTAGTATAATCCTTCTCAGCTGTTCTGGATCATCTTGAGCATTCTAAGCCCTTATCAACATGAAACATAGTGCTCAAGGGAGGCACGACAGTAGCCCTGTTCCAGAGCAGGAACCATGGAAAGCTTGCTCTATCCTGGCGCTAAAATGCTCTGGCATGACATTGGCCAGATAAGACAGGCAATTACATTGCCAAGCTACTCATTGCTTGGTACACACAGCTCCTGCCTACATGCTTGAGCCATTCTGAAGCTCTGGAGATGGACAGAACACTTCTGGCCATTGGTTCTTGCCTAGATGGCGCCCCCACAAGTGCTGCTTATGGTAGGTCCATTGCTTGTGTGACCATATTTTCTGCACCGCATCCTAGGTTCAGGATAACCCAGAATATACCAGAAGTCAGCAGGAGAAGGGATTAGGATAGAGAGAAAGCTGTGGATTTGCTTGGATATTAAAAGGACAATGTTAAATCACTGAGTTCCCTCCCTCAATGAGTCTATACTAAAACTTTGAGAGGCAGATATACTCTGCCTCCAGGGGACAGAAGAGGAAAAACAAGATTTCCCCCCCCCCCCACACACACACACAGTTTTGTGAAAGGCTCACATAAATGAAGTCCAGTCTGACAAACACTTATGCCTGTATATAACTTTCCTCACGCAAGCAGCCTCACTGACTTAAAGGCTACACATATGCACAAGTGTTTGCAGAATCAGGCTCTACTGAAACAGTGAAAGTAACTATACAAAAGTGCTGGCTAATACACCAAGTAAACAAATGGAAAAATACTCCCCACTCCCAAGATCTGTCAGTTCTAATAATCTTAGGAGTTATTTGAAATTATTGTAAGTTAAAAAAATTTCAGACAAAAACGTGACCTAAATTGACAGCATTCCTTAAACTATCCATTTTTTCCATTCTCAGCAGCAAGGTGGAGGAGTACTTTTGCCAGATTTGGTCATTTTTCACAACAATTTTGCAAGGCTGCAGTAAACACTGATCCTTGAATCCTTTTCCCAAGAAAGCCTCAGCAGCTCTTTTTGTCTGTGATCCTGCTGCTTTTTTCCCCCCCTGGAGAACTCACGCTACATAATGCAAGCCTACACAAGCCCGCAAAGAGCTATTATGACAGCAAGAAACAAAAGGAAGGGGGAAGATTTTCTTTATAATCTTTTTTTAAACTTTTATAGAAAGAAAGTGAAATTAATTGCCATCCATCATCACTTATACCCTGTTCCCCTCTTTACATCATTTGGGCTGCTTGTGTAACTTTTAGGCCCTGGTCCTGCAACTAGATCCATGCAGGTGGACCTTGGTCCCACGCAGAGCCCCCCTGACCCCAACAGGGCTATGTATAGGCATATGGGTACTCTCCTGTGGATTCAGCTGCAGGAGCAGGACCTATAATTGTTAAAAGATTACAATGTTGGTGTAGTGAGGCGGCCTGGCTCCCAGTCGCCCCTGCGAGGGACGAGCCAGAACAGCCGCCAGAGTGGGCGGAGTCACCACCGCCTGTCCCTGCCCCCCGGAAGTCAAGGGGCGGGACAGGAAGTATAAAGGCCCGGCCCCAGCGCTCAGTTGCCGTCCGACCGCGGGGGAAGACAGACGCTGGTGCCCGAGCTCCTGCTGGACCGAGCCTGCCCCAAGCCCGGTATCCTGAGGAGGACTGGCCGAGCCGGCCCCGAGCCCGGTATCCTGAGGAGCGGACTGAACTTCCCCCACCGAGGGTCCGGAGGAGCCGCCCAACCTACCCAGCGCTCGCTGCCCTGAGGAGCCCATGATCTGGGACACGGCGGACGAGGCTAAGGACGTGCAGGTACCCTGGAGGAGGAGATGGGAAGTGGCCCGGGGATAGCAGACCCCGAACCCATGTCAGTGTGTTGCGGTCAGGATCCCCACTGACCTAGCAGCAGATGGCTTGCTGCTGACAGGGCCCCGGGCTGGGACACAGTGGAGTGGGTGGGCCTGTGTCCCCCCCTGCCACCCCACGCCGGGTGGCAGTCTCTCCTCCTCCCTTAGCCTGAGCTCCTGAACTACTGTTTGTTTGTTTGCTCAGCCCCTGCCTGAGGGCCTGAGCCAGGGACTACTGGTTGCTTGCGACCCCGCCCCGACTTTGGGCTTGGATCTGCGAGACTGATCTGTTCCCCAGCCTCGTGTAATGAGGCGGCCTGGCTCCCAGTCGCCCCTGCGAGGGACGAGCCCCACCCCGGACGTCTACAGTTGGTCTCAGGTTAATACTTAATAGACAAGTGTTCACATGACACAAATCACATATTGTGAAACTGGCATTGAGTGGAACCCTTGCTGGAAGTCTCTGCACTAGAAGCTAACACTTGAATGTGCATGTAGGAGGCTAACCTACCTACACATCATTGGAGTTGGCCCTAGGCTTGCAAAATAATAATTTTTGACATTAGAAAATGTAGGATAAAAGAATTGCTCAAACCATTAACAGAAACAGCATTCTATGAGCAGGGAATGGGTAGGTAATCAGTTAATCACGAAGAATATGATTGCATTTAGGGACTAATGCATATACATGAAACACAGCACATTACTCATACTCCAATGTCTCTTTTCTTCTTGTACCCACTTCGTCTTTCTCTTCTGCTGTTCTCATTTGTCCCTCGCTCTTTTTCCTTCATATTCATTATGGGCTAGATTCTACTACCCATATTCATTCTGGGTAATGCCTTATTCTGCAGGTAGTCCCACTGAAATCAATGGGGCTATTCATGAAGAAAGCTACTCCTCATTGTGAATAGAGTGGCAAGATCTAGCCCTGTATAATTTAGTCTTTATTAATATTTGTAATGAAAATTATAGCTCTTTTGAACTTTGCATATTTTTTGCAGTTTTATTATATTTACTTAAGTTTTACTGTATGTACATTTCTTTATTTAAAAAAACAGCAAAGCTAATATTTATTTTTTAGAAAAACAAGTTTATAAACCTCAATAAAAATGATTTAACCATGTCTTAAAAACCCGAACTCCTTAACTCTTTTGAGTGCATCACTTTAGGTTATTAAAAGTGGAATCACTCTGAAATCTACTTCATTTTTCATCATTCATACTGTTTGTTTACCTTTTGCCTGTAATTCAGTTTGGATGGTGAAACTAATCTTGTCAGTTTCATTTTGCTTCTAAGCATTCTCTCTTTGTGGTTCTCATGTACTGTTATTAGCTTAGTGCTGCAATGTTGGACTTGCAAATGCACAAAACCTAATTACGGAGCCAAACTTACAGGGCTTCCCCCCCCCCAAGAAATTAAAACTAACCAGGTCAAATTTGGGCATTGACCATCCCAGTGCATATATGTCAATCAATTAATACCTACAGTTACCCCAAAAAGGTTTCTAGAGAAACCCACTGGGACTAGACAGTTGCCAAGTCCAGGCAGGCACTAATCTAATTTAAATAAACTGCAACTATATCTGCCTACTTATGAGTCACCATGACCAATTCACTGCAGCATTATGAGAGCTGGTCATAAAGATTCTGATTAAATAATTTTTTCATTGGAATTTGCCAATTTGTCAAAAATGAAATGTTCCATAGAGACAGTTCAATTTCAACAAAGTTCCTCTAGATTCCAGGCAGGATTCTAATGGTTTCCTGCCAGCTTACCCACCCAGCTCCTTGCCTGCTGGGGAGCCTGGGTTTCCACAGTCCATGGCTCCAGGACAGTTGACCAGGTGGACTGCCTCAGAGCCTGGCTCCACCCCCTTTTGAAATATGGAAATCCATCACATAGCAGTTTCTCTACCCAATTCTAGTATAACAACAATGAATTTGTAATACCGAGGGAGATAGCCTCTGTGTTCTTTCAATCTTGGGCTTACCCACATCACTTGTCATTCCACACCCAAGGGGTCACCTTCTCCTGCAAGGCACTTGTTTGCTCCATTTCAAGTTTCCCTACCCTGCCCTGCCAAGGGACCATCTTCTGCTGGGTAAGAAGAAAAACTATTCAGTGTAATTGCTAGTTCTTTCTTGGTAGTCCTGAACAGATTCTATAGAACTCTTTGTCAACTTTCATCCTAAATTCAGCCCTACCTCCCTCCTCCCCCAAAGATTGCTCACCGCCTTTTGCAAATATCTCTTTGTAAATCCCATCTCATCTGCTGTACAAAGATGTTTCTGCAATGTTCATAGTCATCCCAGTTATGATGAGGGCAGGGGAAAAGTGAGAAAGAAAGGCATTGAGCTTGTCCCTGAATCAAACCCACAGAGACAGACTGTATTGACAAAGTGCTGTCCAGCTGCAGTCATGCAAGTAGCAAATCCTACACATTTGCTTAATCCTGCTACACATTTGTCTGTGGCTTGTGCACTTGCACACAAGAAAGAAATGCAGCGGAAAGAAATGTAGCCACCTCTGGTTATGAAAGAATTGTGTTTATTAGATATTTTTCCCCCTCAATAGGTACAGACCAGTTAAGTAAGCTGGCAAGTTTGCGAGGTCAGATTTTAGGCCCTGGAACAGTTTTAATATACCAGATATAGTGAGTAAGATTTTGATCTTCCTTGCAACTGAACTTTCTCAGATATACAGGAACAAGTTAAAAAGTTCTCCTCACAGCCTATTAAGATTCCAGGACTTTGTCCTTTATTGCCCAAATCAAAAGTGTTTATAAATTAGGGCTCTCTCTATGCTCTGAGAACTGGAGATACCCACAGGACTAAAGTACACAATGAGGCAGAAATGGAGAAAAGGGATTGGGGACAATGGGGCTCTGGCCCTTCTCACATACTTGCTGGAGGGCAGCATTGCTACTCCACATTTAGGGGGAAATGGATATGGAAGTGGCTCCCACAGAAGTCAATAGGGGCCCTGGGTGAGGAAGTGAGGAGTACAGTTTGGCCCACAGCTGAAGAGCGTAATGTCCAAAACAAGAAACAAGCCTGCAGACACAATCTAGGGCACTGTTTTTTTCTGATTTCAGTAGCCAGTCTCCCTTTAATAAGGGGCCAAAATGGGATTCCAGCATCCAGGGTTGAGGAGCTAGTAGCTGCCAAGTACACTGCCCACTTGTTTGAATCAAATATGAATTACAGATTTTGAGACAAAAATCTTTATGCGAAGGAGTAAGTCAATAACAGGAGTGCCACCAGGGCAAGCTCTGACAAGAGAATGTGAACAAACATGCACACACCTCTTAAAAATCAAGGCTGCAAGCACAGCAATTGAACCAGTTCCCAAGCCAGGGCAGGGCTCTTCCCGCAAATAACTTATGTTATTACCACAGCTTGCTCATTCTCCTCTCTTTCACAGTGACGGGAAGAAGAAAGAGGGATCTGGTACACAAAAGAGAAGAGGATTATTCCTCAGCAACCCTTCCAGTTGAGCCTGTTTGACACCAGACAACGAGGTAGGTAGGCCTAGATTCAAAGCTTAGTCTACTATACTGACTTCATCTGCATAGTCAGGCACAGAGCCCTACAACAGAAAATCTACTGGAATTTGGGGGTTGCAGCTGTAGATAATGGGCCACATCCTGAGCTGTCATATGTCACTGTAGCTCCATTGACTTCAATGGAGCTAGGCCAATTTACACCTAGCTGAGGATCAGGCCTAGTAACTGCAGCCCACTTTCTGCCATTGGATCAATGCTGCCCCAAGAGTGATTGGCACTGACCAGAGAGGAAGTAAAGTCAGGGTGGCTGGATGATGCGCTGATTCAAGCATATCACTGAGCAACCTCTGCTAGTGGGACTCCTTTGGAGCCCTAACCCCACTGACATCGACACCCCCCCGTGGAATCCCCAAGGGAGAGGCGGCAATGTCAACACTGCCTGCCTTCCAACTGAGTGAATACCCCTGTGGTGCAGGGGTGCCAGCTGCAGCAGGGAGATTTAATCTACACCTCCTCTTGCCAACATGGCTGATTTTAGCACAACCCTAAGGAAGAATGGATGGCATAGGAAAAAAAAACACACCCCACAATTGTGTGTATTATAGGGGCATCTTTCTGATCAGTGTCGTTAATCAGACCACTAAGCAAAAAGTGTTACTACAACTCAACCTCTCTCTCTCTCTCTCCCCCCTACCACCCAACTTGTGAAGATATTAACAGACTGCACCCAACCCTTGATGCTTCCGGTTTCTGCACTCAGCCATGGCTGAGGGACACAGATGCTCACACATGCTTCGGCAGGTGTATCCTCTGTCTGCCGGGTTCTGATTTCCTGTTTGTACCATAGTCAGGACAGGCTGGCTAGTCCTTCAGAGTGGTGAGAAATATTCAGTGATATAAGCCAAAACAAAACCAAAACAAATAAAAAAACCTTGCAAGACACAAACCTCGGGTCCCCACATTTTCCCCTCCACCATGACTCATAGTGCATTACTTAGCACAGTGCATAACCCCTTTCATGTGCTGCTCTTAAGAATGCTTGGCAAATCTGCAGAGCACTCACAGTGACTACGGGAAGCAGGACCTACAGGAAAGAAAAACTGGGCAATACGAGGGGGAGAGGAATTGATGTTTAGCATGGGGCAGAGTTCTTAAGAGCACGTTATCTCCGTTCCCAGCACACACCTGGATTCATTCCATGATTCCAGATGCACTTTCCCTCTCCACACCACAGAGATAGTAGAGCAGAGACCCTGCTTGCTATTTCGTAATTCTGGAACACTACCTGCTCCCTGAACAGGGCCTAGGGGTAAAAATTTATGAATCTTAAAATTAAATAATTCAGCAAATAGATAATTAAAATCTCTGGATGCACGTGTGGCATACAAATAAAACTGACAGGTTTTGACCACCTTCTCCTTCAAAGAATTACTTCAAAATCACCAATTTAATTCACCCCACCATTACCCTCCTCAAATAATAAATGAGCCTTACACTAGGACATGATGGTCAGCAAACTAGAGTACTGTTGGTCCAACAGGGAAGCAAGCTCCAGAGCTGATGGCCTTTCGTCATGTCTCTAGTCCCCCAGAGGACAAACCTTGGGACTGTTTGCACAAGCACAGGAGTTTATCTCAACGGTGCATGGGGAGAGAGCTGGACTCTGAAGTATCTTCTGAATACCTGGGGCAGACATCTTTGTCACACCCTCAAAATGCTTCCCTTTACCTATCATCGCCACCTTCAAACTGTCTGATGTGACTATTTCACCCAGGAACTGGGAAAGCAAAGAAACTGCACTGTTCAGGTCCAAAGAAAAAAACACAGAGCTAAGTGCCTTTCAGCCCAACACCTCCCACTGTCTCCCAAAGTGTCATCATGTCTATGTTGAAGAGGCGGGGTGGCAGAATGGGATCCTATGGCATCCAGCATGAGAGCCCTCAAGGAGCTGCCTTCATTGTCTAATCACTACATTATAAATGGACAGATAGATGTGCAATTTCCCAGCATCATGATCCAGGGCCCCTCAGAAGGAAAGAACAGAGCAAGACACCATCCACCATTACCAGTGCAAAAGGACAGTCAACAATACCTCATGAAATAGAGGCCACTGACTGATCTAAAAGCAATCAACATGGACACTTGATTTCTGCCCATCACTAGTAGTAGTCTTCACTACAGTGGCACAGCTATGGAGCTGCGTCTGTGCTGCTAAAGCACCGTAGGCGCTGCCTACATTGATGGAAAGGGTTTTTCCATCCATGTAGTTAACCCACCTCTCCAAGAGGGTAG